TATATATATATATATATATATATATATATATATATTGTTTAAATCTGTGTACCGTAAGATATAAAATTTGTCAAACCGTAGATATATTATAATATAAACCGTAAAATATGTGTACGTAGGAGCGTTGGACCAAAATCTCTCGGTATTTACGGCTTATAATTTGCCCGCAGTACTTTTTTTTTTTATATAAATGTAAATTTATATTAAATTTGAGAAAAATACTAATAGGAATGTGAATGTAAATATTTATTTTGCAATCTAAAATTCAGAAAAAGTAACAAGGAAAATCCATTTGACGGGTCAAAGGAGGCACGTAGATGTCGTTGACTCGTGACCAACAGTCGGCACGTGGCCTATTGCGCTCAATCTCAATTTCAGTAAACCATTTTCACAATTCGACATATATGTAGATTCCGGAAATAATAAATGAGATTTATAACTAATAAAATCAATATTGCTGCTGTGTGGTCAGCTTGGTTCTCGGGGCACATGACTAGTGGAATAGACAGCGAGGAATTTGCTCAACACCACGAGGCCCTCGATCTCCCTCTCTTCAATTTTCATAATTTTAAGTATAATTTTAGCTTTCTTTAAAATTTTCACTGTAGAAATATAGATATACATACATATATATGTATATATATATAACGTGGATACAAAATACAAGACCTTTGACCATTATCAACCACAAAAATAAAAACCATCCCATTGATTTCTTTTCATTTTAACTAATCGGATATTTTTTTTTTATTATGGAATTCCGATAAAGATCTCGGCGATCTTCTTACCATAAGCTTCCGGCCCAAACCAATATTAAATTAAAATTAATGTACGAAACACATTATTTAATCACAATATATACGTGTGTACACATACACACACACATTTATTCGGACATGTGCATGCAAAATACTCCTCTAGGTCGGTGCGATTCGTTTACCATAATTTCCCTTATAAAATATTACTAATATATATTTACTGACAAATTCAGAGAATTATATATATAAGCAAAGCATTAAAATTTTAAATAAGCAAATCAATTACAAACGATCACATGATATTAATGATTGTACGTGTCGTTGTAATAAATTTCGCATCCTAAGCTGGGACATCTTTTTTTTTTTATTTAGTTTTCCTATTTATAGATAATAAAACAATTTCCCTTTTTGTTTATAGATGAAAATACAACAACACACACACACATATATATATACACACACATACATGTCGGGAAAAAAAGTTTCCGTGGTGTAATATATATGTTTTTAACATATATCTGTCTGTCCTGAATGAATTATGTTTCAAACTGCTGAAATTAATTAACTTGTTTGCAAATTAAAATAGTCCAATTAATAATTATATATATCTGAAAATTCGTGTTGTTTCCAAAGAGAACCGAATATAGTTATGAACTCGAGGTTTGGGGTTCTAGAACAATCATGTACAGAATATAAATTAAACGCAACAAATTAAATCCGAATATTATACCACAACATGCCACCCCCAAGATCCAGTAATATCATTATTATTTAACGTAGGAAAAAAAGATTTTGTTGCAAGTCCAAAACCATAATCAGAACCCACATGATAAAATTAACAGATACCGACCAAATATTGGAACGTGTTACAAAACTTCTAGGTAGATCAAAGATATTTTCAACCAATGGCAACCTCCAACCAAAAACTTATTTATACTAAACATGTCCGAAATATATATATATATATAGTTCAAAATACGGATCCATTTGAAATTTTATATGTTTAACAGAATCATTTTCCATAATAACAAATCCAATATTAATATTTCTCCATATGGTTATAGATCAAACCAAGTTGATAATCGGTTCATTTGGAGTAAATGGGCTCTATGATGGGCCAATTGGAGAAGAAATTAGGATTAAGAAGATCCGGAAACAGGCCCATTAGACTGGATTAACCAACTCGTTTAACTCACCGAGTCATTGACTCAGTTTCGTCTTCTGTCAAGACTCAAGATAACACAATTCTCCGAAAACCCTAAAATACCCCCCGCAACGAATTTTCTATCTCTACCCTTCTCAGTCTTTCTCTCTCTAGATGAATTAGGACCACGACGACGAACCGCTAATGGCCGCGATCAGACCGCTGCCACGGGTTTCGAGCTTCTCTTCTTCGGCCTTCTCTTTCCTCGACGGTAGGCTCGGAGATGCCGGAGACCTTTCCCAGTCGCCGAGTCTTGTCTCCGAGTTGCGGACTGAGATTTCCGAGTTGGATCGCAGATTGATCGTGCTGAATCGCCAGCTCGAATCGGGTCTCTCTGCTTACGCTTCGTTTTCCGACGGTGTCCATGGTCTCTTTGTCCGCGTCAATGCCAAGTTGGCTGATCTGTCTTCTTCTACCCGCGTTCCTGGCTCCGCATCAGGTTCGTTCAATTGCATTTCGTTTGGCTAATTGTGAAATGCTGATTAAGATCGCGAAATTGCATACTTTTGGATTAAAATTAGGTCTCTGTTTTCTGTAGATTGTTGCAATTCTGGCAAAAGTGTGAAGTTTTTTTAATGCTTTCCCGCTAAATTTTGAGAATTGTCATCTTGATTTCTAAATCAGATGATGGCGATGAAGTCCACACCACGGAGCACGTGGTCGGGGAGGAGCTTCCGGCATTGGCGAAAGAGGTCGCGCAAGTGGAGACCGTGCGAGCTTATGCTGGTAAGTTTGTTTCTTGTGGTTTTGGTTTCTTACATGTCTACCAGTTTCAATATATATCACCTTGTGGCTTGTCAATGCCGATGGAATCGGTACGATTTTAGCTTCTTTGGAGTCGTATCTTAACATATTTTACGAACACCCTGTCTAAGAAATGTTATTTGTATTGGTACTGTCAAGGTATTTGCTCTAGGTATCATAGATACATAACAAAGGAACAGATTTCGCATATTCGGTATGAAAAAAATAACATCATCTTGCTTTGTTTCTCTCGAAAGAATTTCCCTTTCATTTGTGGGTTGATCAAAGATCAAACAGTCAAAATCACCGAACCGGACATCTTCGACTCTGTTGTATTGTTCTAGTCTTCCCTAGAACCCTGTCAGAATCGGTAACCTTCACTTTTCAGCATTTTGTTTTTTGTCTCTCGATCTTCTTTCTTACTGTCATCTCTGGAACATTAAAAGACGTAAATTTCTTCTTTGTCACACTCCTATTAGTTATTGACGTGTTACATCGTGGAGCTCATTTTTTCTGCTTTTTGTAATTTTCATTCCCTCAATGTTATTTCTTAATGTTTCAGAGACTGCGCTAAAGCTTGACACTTTCGTGGGTGATATTGAAGATTCTGTGGCTTCTTCTTTGAACAAAAACCTGATGAAAACTTCACAGTCAAGCAATTTTCAAGTATGTATACCCTATTCCGCAGAGGTGTTATATGGAAGTTTAGTTCAAATACACATATTCATGTCCTAAATTTTACTGACCTCAGGAGGTGCGCCTACATGCTATCAAAACACTTAAAAAGACAGAAGAGGTTCTAAGCTCAGTCGCAAGGACACACCCTCGGTGGACATGTCTTGTTTCAGCAGTTGATCACCGAGTTGACAGAGCTTTGGCCATGCTGAGACCCCAAGCAATTGCTGATTACAGGGCCTTGCTTACTTCTCTTGGATGGCCTCCTCTGCTTTCTACTCCAACTTCATCTAGTCTTGATACAAGAAAGTCAAACGATGTCCAAAATCCACTTTTCACCATGGAGGGGAACCTGAAAAGCCAATACTATGCAAATTTTCATGCCCTGTGCTCTCTGCAGGGATTGCAGTTGCAAAGAAAACAACGGCAACTTGAGAGCTATAAGGGGGAAAATGCTCTTTTCCACCAGCCACTTTGGGCTATTGAAGAGCTGGTCAACCCTTTGATAGTTGCATCTCAACGGCATTTCACAAAGTGGAGTGAGAAGCCCGAATTCATTTTTGCTCTTGTGTACAAAATCACAAGGGATTTTGTGGACTCTATGGACGAGGTATTGCAACCACTTGTTGATGAAGCAAAACTAGCAGGATACAGTTGCCGAGAAGAGTGGGTTTCTGCCATGGTGAGCTCGTTAATTTTGTATCTGGTGAAAGATATATTCCCTGCCTATGTAGGAAGACTAAACGAAGAGAATGAAGCTGCTCTTAGGTCAGAGGCTAGGGTTTCATGGCTCCATCTCATTGACTTAATGATCTCCTTTGATAAGCGAGTTCAGTCTCTAGTATCGCAGTCTGGAATACTTACGCTTCAAGAAGACGGGAATCTTCAGAGAATTTCCTCTCTTTCTGTCTTCTGTGACAGACCTGATTGGCTTGATTTATGGGCTGAGATAGAGCTAGATGACGCTCTCAATAAGCTGAACCCGGAGATTGAGAAGGAGAGGAATTGGATTGTGAAGGTTCAAGAGGAACTTGTCTCTTCGTCTAACGTGTATAGGCCACCTATTGTTTCCAGCATTGTTCTTCAGCATCTGTCATCAATAATCGAACGATGCAAATCACTACCAGTCACGCATTCAAGGGCAAGGTTTCTGAGACTGACAGGCTCGCCTATAATACAGAAGTTCCTGGATTGCATCGTTCTCAGATGCCAAGAAGCTGAAGGACTAACTGCCTTAACGGAGGATAATGATCTAATAAAGGTCTCGAACTCTATCAATGCTGGTCACTACATTGAGTCCGTCCTAAAAGAGTGGTGTGAGGATGTATTTTTTCTCGAAATGGGAACCGAGGAGGAAGTACCCGACTTGGAGAATATTGGGGATTCTTCGGTAGGTATGTTTGGAGAAGAACTGATGAAGCTGGAGAAATTTAGGGTAGAGTGGCTAAATAAGTTGTCTGTTGTTGTCCTGAGAGGATTCGATGCCCGTACACGAGACTACATGAAAAACAGGAAGCAATGGCAGGAGAAGAGAGACAAAGAATGGACGGTGTCCAAGGCATTAGTGGGAGCTCTAGACTATTTGCAAGGCAAGATGTCGGTAATAGAGGGAAATCTAAACAAGATGGACTTTGTCAAGGTGTGGAGAAGTCTTGCCTCGGAGATAGACCGGCACTTCTTCAGCAGCATCCTGATGGGGAATGCCAAGTTCTCCGATGGTGGAGTCGAAAGGTTCAAAGAGGAGATGCAACTTCTGTGTGGAGTGTTCAGGGCATGGTGCCTTAGACCTGAAGGCTTCTTCCCGAAACTAACGGAAGGCCTGACCCTGCTTAAGATGGACGAGAAGCAACTGAAAGACAGTGTGAGCAGAGGCGGAAACCGGTTACCCGAGTGTGGAATCAGACATCTAACCGGGTTTGAAGCCGAGAAAGTCGCAAAGAGTAGAGTTTTCTCCTAGCGAAATTAAGTTAGAGAGGATGATAAAGTGTTGGTGGAGATGATGATCACGAAGATGGTTGGTCATTCTGACCATTTTCTGGTTTTCGAGGAATCGTCTGGCGAAGGTCGATTTGGTGGATTACACTCAGAGAGAGTAAGGATTAGGTGAGTTAATTTCATTTATTTTTGGAGGATAATAAGCAATTTGTTATTGAAATTTGCCATCAAAATGGTCTATCTCTCTCTATATGATTCCTTCCCATTTAGCAATGACTACTTGTTCTTCTGGAGTTGAGAAATGAGTCATTGACAGTTTTAAACAGTTGATCGTTTTGTGGAGACAAATGTTGTCTCTACCAGTGAGAATGTCGGGAGATAAGGTCAAGGCCCATCATCATCATCATATGCCAATCTCGGAAACTAGAATCCGGAGAAACCTCTTTTCCAAAGAGAGGCTTATCAAGTCAGAGAAGCCTTTAGGCTCTGGCTTCTTCTTCTTCTTCTTCAGCAGCTGCATCTTCGGCCCCGTCGTCCACTCCAAGGGAATGGCAAAGATACTCCTGAGCTTCTTCTAGCGCGGATTCGTTCTCATCCGTTGCGTACAATATCTTCTTCACCGCTTCCACTATCTGCATCATGGGTTCGGAGATTCGCATGTCAAAAATCTTGGAAAGAAAATCTTGCTTTTAAGGCTTAACTTACAGAGACATGTTCGATTTCAGGAGTCTGGCAGAGTATTTCTATGTCCCGGAGCTTTGAGAAGTAAAAGTCTCTTTCTTTCTCCAACAGATCCAAAGAGAGCTTCATCTCTGTAAGCTGTATTGTATCACCAATGGGCAGAGTTTGATTCATTTAACACACAAAATGATGAAAAGGGTAACATTTCATTAGTAAGAACCTTGTCCTAAAAACTACGATACCGAAAGGAAAACCCAAAAAGAGAAAAAAATCAAGAACGAAGCCAAGTTTTCAGCCGAAATCAAGAAAAAGAAATCGTTTGAAAGTCTTAGCTTGTGGCTTCTCTGCCTGTATATGTGTGTATATAAAAATATACCTCCTTTGACAAAGCCTGAACCTCGGCTGAGGAGTTGCTCCCTCCAGCAGCAGCTGTATGCCCCTTCCCTTGCTTTGTCCCTGAGGAAATTGGCTCTAAACTATGCTTATGAAAAGTTGCGACGGAGATTTACCTCGTAAATACGCAAGATCTATGATGATGAATAGAATAAAAAATGTTCGGCTGTGCTACCAGTACCTGGATTATGCATATTGTTTGTTTGAAGTGACTTTGATGTCTTAGTCGAACACTTGAGGCTCCTCTCTTTTCCACCTCTCGATCTTCGTTCCACCGGATTATAGTTCCTACATACAAACATTTGTGCGTAAGATTCCAGGGGAAAAAAAAGAGATCAGGAAGAAAAACAAATTCCTATAAATTTTAGAAGAGAAAAGGAGGGGATGAAACATATACATACTCGTTCATGATGCCACCGTTTATTGAATCGCAGTAACGCTTCAGCCATTGCAGGAACTCCAAGTTATCCAATGGCCGGCCTTTGACGAGCCTGTTGACTTCAAGGTGCTGATGAATTTCCCAGAAGACAATAGTTTGTAAGTATGCATGAACAGATACAAGCCACTTCCATTCCCAGTTGTATTAAACATTTCCTCAAATTTACAAACAGTTCTCATGTGGCAGGAAAATGTATATGATTATAAGGTAACTGCATTAGATGGTAGAGACCAAGGATTAATCCAAAGTAGATATATGAAAGCACTTTTACCTTTTCGATTTTCAGTTTGTTGAACACATCTTGAAGGACCTTGTAGTTTTGTATCATCTCATACTCAGTCTTTGCATCAAAATTAACCTGCAGTGGGAAATCTCATACGTTACACCGAATATGAAACAGAAGAAGAAGCACGTGAGCCGGTGCTCTGTGTGCCGGATCAGCTAGAATTTATTCTTCGGATGCACCGATCCAATGTGCAAGATTAACTGAAAAATAAACCACCTTGTGCATTGGAACAACTCCTGGAAAGGTCATGTCCATCATCTGACACTGCACAGCACCAGATGCAGCCTAGCAAGAGCCAATAAAATCACCAAAATAAGATATAAGGTCTAAACAGTCAGCATGGATATTTGCTCAAGAACAGTTCAAAGCTTCATTTATCAAGGCTACCAGATTCTTTTGCCATAACATGAACAACACAATGCCACTGGCAGTGATATTAACCAGAGAGGAACATGGATCAGAGAAGTAAAAAAAATTCTTTATCTTCCAAGTTTATAAGAACACAACAGATTAGACTCCGGGTCCAATAGAAACCAAATGCATCTCAGGATTCAGAACTATCTCAATGAACCTTGAATCAGGCCATCAATATGCCAAACAAACAGAAGCTTCCAGGCATGATTTAAGCAATGGGCACAAAATCCAAAATTGGATCCATTATACACACATTAAGGACTGCTAGAACACCACAACAGAACCTTATTCCTCCAGAATCATGCTTAAGTTATACGATAGGTTTCATCTCAAAAGCAAATATATAAATCTGATCTAAGAGCTGAGCATCCTTAATCATGGGTCGATCTTTCCACGGTAACACCATGAGTGAATCCACATGTTGTTTCACTTAATAACACCGCTCT